CAAAATGACTTCAGATTTTTTTTCAACATAATTTAGCCTCAAGAACTCAGACAGTGCCATAGATATTTAAGCAAAGGAAAAGAATCTTCATCGTTTTCCTTTTTCATGTTTGTAGAATGATGCAGTATGCCAAGGAAATGAAGAATGGGTCCTTTGTTCCAGAGGCTGCCTGTAAAGGTCACAGAAGAGTAATAAGACAAATACAAACACCTTAGATAATTTCATTTGGGCAAATGATTTAAAAGAAAGCAATAGTTCGAGCTAAGTAATGAAGTTCATAAATACAAAAATAATAACCTGGTATGCCATTAATTCATATATTAAAAATCCCTTCTTTTTCACTAAAAGAGATAACTCACTAAAGAGAAATGTTTGTGGGTTTGAAATGCTGGAGAGAGGGACAACTCGTAGCCACCTACTGACTATCTTAGCCAAAAGCACAGCATATCACTGCAAGTTAATGCCAGGTTGCCTTTTCTGGTCTCAAAACGTCATCATACAAACGCCTGACTTAGAGACAATTTGATGGAAGAAAACACAAGGTAAGAGGCAGGGTGTTCCACTGTAAATACTGTAGCAGGAATGGAAGACCCAAACTGTATTCTGAGTATGCTCACTTAAAAAGTTTGGGCAAGAACAAAATATCTCTGGACCTTGGTTTCTTCCTCTGAACACTGTGTCCAACTGGGTTTTTGCCACAGATATCTGTGAAAATGTTTTGCAAACAAAAGCATGCCATACAAATTGGTATTAAATGCCTGTACATAATCACTTTTTTAATTTCTTCTCCTCCCAACCTGTACTCTATATGGAACAGCCTCAGGTTGTTCTCATGATGAAATGGGTTAAACTGTCCCAGTTCCACACAACCACCACCCACACTATTCATAGGCAGGATGAGTCAAACTGATTGAAACTATGGCGCAAGTGAGGTGGGTATTTTCTTATCCAATTGAGCTTTTTGAACAATTTAGAATAATTTATTATAAGAACAATCCATAGTTGTCATTATGAGTAAGAAAAGAGACAAATAAAAATAAAACCATATATAAAATTAGATCCTTCACACTATGTACACAAAAGTTCCAAGTGGATTAGATGCCTAAATTTAAAAAGCAAAACTTTGATACATTAGAGAAAAAATATAAGAAAAAGTAACCCTCTGACTTTGGGTAGAGAAGGATTTCTTATATAAGATATAAATGGCCCAAGTCAGAACAGAAAAGATAGGTAAATTTTAAAAATAAAATAAAACTTCTGGGCATCCAAAATCAAGGCAAACTACACATTAGGAGTACACACAAAATGTATTTAATTAGCAAATAATTTGTTTACAGAAATAAAGAATGTCTACTTATTTAGAAGAAAAAATGCAAACAGATCAACGGCAAATAGGCAAAAGATGTGACGAGATGTGACTCACAGATCAGGAATTCCAAACACCTAGCAAGCATATGAAAGATGTTCACCTTCACTATCAAGGAAATGCAGTTAAATAAATCATGAGGCCAGGCACTGTGGCGAGGGCCTGTACACCCAGCACTTTGAGAAGACAAGGTGGGAGGATTGCTTGAGTTCAGGAGTTCAAGACCAGCCTGGGCAGCATAGTTAGACTGTGTTTATTTTAAAATTAAAAATAAACATATAAAAATCATGAGGTATAATTTTGCATCCATATGGTTGACAAAGATAAGAAGTCGGACAATATCAAATGTCAGAGAGTATGTGGAGTAACGAGAATTTACACACCCTGCTGGTGGGAATGTAAATTGGTGGAAAGTGTTTGGCAAACCAAGTGAAGTTGAATGTGTGGATACCTATCAAGTAAGCAATTCACTCCTGGGAAATACACCTCAAAGATAATCGTGTTTATGTGCTTGGAGAGCCATGCGTAAGAATGATCATGCAAATAGTGTTTATTCTAGTGAAAAACTGAAGCAATTCACATGTTCACCCTCCTGAGAATAATTAATTAAATTAAGTCAATTGGTAGAGCTGTATCTCAAAAATATAGACATAATGGGGGAAAAAGGAAGCTACAGAAGAAAACACAAATATACATGTAGATTTTAAAAATATGAAAACTAATACATGTTTTCTTATGGCTATACATGCATATAGT